ACAGATCTGGGAAATCCTCCTGAAGAGTGGTATTTCCAAGCCATTTGTCTGTCCAAAATTTTAGGAGTACACCATTGCCCAATTCAAAGTAAGCGTTCTGATCAAATGTATCCCACAACATCCTAATACTCTTCCACAGTCCCACTCCGTAAGGAAGTGTAGTAATATTTGAGCACCATTGATTCAGCCTTCCATGCTTAGCTATGATGACCTCTTTCCAGAGCCCTGCGTCTTCCAAGTTGTATCTCCAAAGCCACTTCATCATCATACTTTTGTTGTGGGCTGCAAGGTTCTTAATGCCAAGACAGATAAACAAAGTCATTATTGGGACCGTGCTGGGGAAAAGGGAGAATGGATAGTAGGTTGAATAAGTATCATACCTGAATAGTGACGTATTTGGTGCGGCGTTGAGCGCAACTTCGTAGGCAGCAGTGGAGAACTTCGGGATTTGATTGAGGTTGGTGAGCAGAAACAGGGAGAAGCAGTGAGAACATGAAGTAGTTTAGAGAATCAGAATAGTCTGTGGTTCAATTCTTAAGATGGTGGCGTCCGTTGTAAACAGAGACAACGTTTTTGAAGAGCCGCAATAAGTTTAAAAGGAAGGAAGCGGGGAAGCGGCTGTTTAGGGACTGATGAGGTTGAAGCGACGTTTGATTGTGGCGTTTCTCTGGAGAATGGGAAGGGTAGTTGGTGAGAATATATAAATTTGACTAAAAAGGAATCCCTAGCTTGTGGTGGTGCCACTTCATCGGGTTGAGGGTTCTCTTTTATATAGATATAAGATTGTGAACAAAAAACGTCCTTTAACTATCCAAAATTTGCAATAAATATTCTGTTAACTTTTGTTAAAAAACTAACCGTTGAAATAAATACGTGTGCCAATGACTTCCTTCCAAATATCCATATTCGGTCTGATTCTAAGTTGCTTGGACTTGGGTGCGGGTGTTCGATACGGGTGCGGATCTAGAGGTCGGATCCTTCATGATCTAATTTTTAAGATTCGGGGATATGGATCCATGTATGGATACGGGTGCGGGGATTCACCTTAATATAATTAAAATATCTAAAAATAGAGTTATAAAACCTAAATTATGAGATATTATATGGAGAACTTGGGGAGAATCTTGGAAGGAGATTAAAAGAAAATGAGTGAATAGAAATTTCTATATAAAAGATATTTCATTTTCTTCAATTTCACCTTAGCTTTTGTATTGATTATAGAAATCATTTAAACTGTCCAAACTTTCTCCATCGATTTTGGTCAAAGTACCCAAAATCGGTTGACCAAATCGGACACAGATCCCACACTCACACCCACACCCACACCCGTGTCGACAAGGGTGCGGCACCAAAAGTGAAGAGTCCGAGCAACTTAGGTCTGATTGAATATAAATAGGAAAAGAAATGGTTAAAAATTACAAAAAAGAACCCGGCATACCAGTAGAAAAACCCAGCAAAACAGCACCAAACCAGCAAAAAACTGCAATGCAGTAGAAAAAATCAGCAGAAAAATTGACAAACCACTAGAAAAACAACACCAAATTAGCCAAAAAGCAGCCATACAACAACAAAAAAACTGGTAAACCAATCGTAAACAGCAAAAGGATCAACAACAAAATAATTTAAAACTGGTAAATCAGTAGAGTAAATAGCAAATAAAACAGTAATTTTTTTGGGCAAAACAGAAGAAAAACAGCAAAAAGAGACCTATACAATGAATTTAGACATAAATGAGGAAAATAATACTTAGAGAGAAAAAAAAGGAAGCTAAAACACATATGAGCTCTGCGATCCCGTCAGCGTATAACCATTAGTTGGTAATATCCCGATGGAGGGAAAACTTTAAACTTGAAACATAGGTATATGAGAAGAACAAAATTACAATAGAAATATGGAGATTTGGGGGGGAATGTGCTTGACACAGATATTTATTTCAGCTGTTAGTTTCTAACAAAAGTTAATAGAGGGATGTTTATTGCAAATTTTGGGATACTTAAAAGGATGTTTTTTGTTCACAATTGTAGCGTAAGGATTTACCCTAAGTTTGGGTTATACTTCAGGGATAATTTTAGCCAAAACTCCACCTTATATATGCATAGTATGGTGAAAATAATTATGTATAGTTCTTTTATACTATTAATTAATGTATTAAACTTAATTGTCAAATGTAGAAATAAAAGTAAAACAGGTTATCAGATTTTTCATGCAAGGTCTGTCCAACAAATGCACCACTGTTCAAATTTTCTCTTTATACATATGAAAGAGTAATTTTTTCTTAATGTTCTTTGCTTTTTACTCTATTCTTCAACTTGAAAAATAGTAGAATTATTAAATGGAAGAGGGCCAGTAACGGGGTTGTAGTAGTTTTGATAAAAAAGCATGTCATTTACAGAAAAGGCTAGAGAAGCTTGGAGGTTTAACAGATGAAAAAACTCTCAAGGAATTAAAGTAAAGATGTTTCTTGATCGAAAAAGTTGCGATCTTAATTATGTATTTAACTTAATAGAGGCTATAAAGTAAGCCATTTATTTATCAACTAAGTAATCACTACTATAGGACTTTTTGTTGAGAAAAGAACAAGATAGTTGGTTTTACTTTTGAATGTTGTGTGCATTAGTTAATTAGGATTGAGAACTATTTGAGAACCTGCTATCATTTGAAAATTTCACCTTGGAATAAGGTTAAACTGGTAACTCCATGTGGACCATTTAAAAAAAGATACTGTAATAAAATTTTTGAAAGAAGACAACAGGAGTGGTGTTTTATTATACTAGTAATTTTGACTATTTCTAGGTTTGATTTTGGGAAAAATGAAGAAAAGGCAGTCCACTGCACTGAGCTTTCTATTGTATGCAATATTTACCTTGCATTTCTTAAGCAACATGTTTCCACAGTTTAAACCCATGACCTCCTAGTCACATGACAACAATTTTACCAATTAAGTCAATACTTCCCTTAAATATTTTAAAAAAATGTTTTGCAGATGGAATTGTTGAGGGAAAAAATGGAAGGACTGTCAAAGGGTATGTTAGATAGAAAGGGGAAATAATATGAGACAATACTTTCAAGCACAACAAACAATTCAGTTGCCAGTTCAGCTGCAACTTCCTAGAGAATTGACCCTTTTACCTTTCTCTACAAGACAACAACCATCTCAGGTAAAGTCAGAACAGATAAAATGTTTTTATGCATATAATAATTGTACTTCTCTGTCTGTACCTCAATATTAATTCAAAAATGATGTACAACACTTACAATAGTGAACTTATTGTATTACTATTTCCGTTTCAATTTGTTTGTCTTGTTTTGACTTGATACTGAGTATAAGAAAATAAACAAGACTTTTGAATCTTGTGGTCTTAAATCAACGATATGTCAAATGTTCCAAAATTCCCTTTAATCATGTGGTCTTAAACATTCTATGCGAAAAATTGTAATTATAGTTTCCTAAAAAGGAAAAAGATATTCTTTTGAAGTGGACTAAAAGGGAAAGTAGAGGAAACAAATTGAAAAGGAGTGAGTATATCTTGTGGTGTATTGTAGTAAGATTTTGATACTACTAAGACCCTAGAGTTATTTCAAAATTTGTTTATAGAGTTTCCTAAAAAGGAAAAAGATATTCTTTTGAAGTGGACTAAAAGGGAAAGTAGAGGAAACAAATTGAAAAGGAGTGAGTATATCTTGTGGTGTATTGTAGTAAGATTTTGATGCTACTAAGACCCTAGAGTTATTTCAAAATTTGTTTATAGAGTTTCCTAAAAAGGAAAAAGATATTCTTTTGAAGTGGACTAAAAGGGAAAGTAGAGGAAACAAATTGAAAAGGAGTGAGTATATCTTGTGGTGTATTGTAGTAAGATTTTGATGCTACTAAGACCCTAGAGTTATTTCAAAATTTGTTTAAAGTGGTGGACAAGTAGCTATATTAACATAAGATAAAATTACCAAACAAACAAATCATCAAAATACTAGTAGTCACTCAATTGGTAGTAGTTATTATCTCAGAAAGTCACTTTCTTTATTGAGCAAAATTGAAATCAAGAAGACTGGTGAGTTTTCTGAGATAATAACTATTATTGAGTGATCATCTGAGAAATCAATCTTATATTTACCTGGAAATGTTATTTTGCTAATTGTAGTTGTTTGGAAATTTTATCTTATGCGGCAACTTGCTTGTAATGTCAGGGTCAGGTTGATATTTCTAATGACTTTCATTTTATGCTGAGTATTGGAATAGATGATGTGTTCTATCGTAGTTATTGACCTTAGTTTTATGGCTTTGTTGTAATAGACCTTTAGTTCGAAGATCATTTGTGAACTTAATCCTAAAAGAGAAAGCATTTTGCTAAACAGCTCAAGAATCATGCATTTGCAACATGGTGTACTTGTCTTCATCATATTATAGAGTTTTATTGCTAGTTTTGAACTGAAGAAACAGTTTTTGCACTCTTGTTTCATTTGAACAGGACGTGATGCCACTCGAGGAGAACAAATGCTCAGGGAATTGCAAGGCTATAGTGCGAAGGATAGTAGAACAAGAGCTGAAACTGAGCAATGGCCACAAATGCAGGAAATGCTGCAGCAAGTGAGAGGGGAGAAGGAAGAACTTCAGGCTTCTCGTAATTTCTGGGAAAACCCAGCCCTTGACTTTCCTCGTGAAATCCAATCTTTACAGTCCTCTTTAAGAATCTGGTTCTTGGTTTCCAATGATAAGTTTGATGAAATAAGTTTTGATTTGAAACAGTTCACTATATTATTTCTTCAAAAGTATCTCATTTACTTTTCACTTGATCCGAGGCTCTTTCGGAAACAATCTCTCTACCTCCACGAGGTACTGGTAAGGTTTGCATACACTCTATCCTCCCCAGACATCACTTTGTGGGATTGTGGGATTTCACTCGATATGTTATTTTTGTTATCTCATTTTCTTTGCTTTTATAGGTGGAAGAATGGAAAGGCAAATCACAAGCATTTGAAACCAAAGCAAAGGATATACAGTGTGAATTAACTGCAGCAAAAGACAAGCTGGAAAAATCAAGGACAGAGAAATCTACGGCACATGATCAGAGAGAGGTAACATCTACCCCGAATTCACCTTTGTTGTCATTAGCCAAGCAAATTGAGAAGGAAAAACGTGTGTTGGTTTGTCGGTTGAAAAAATGCCATTCAGAAGTTGCAAAAACAAAGAGGTGTTGAAGTGATTTCAACAAAAGATTTGCCACCTGTTTCTCTTGGGAAACAACTAAAGAAGGAAAAGTGCATGTTTATGCATTGTCTGAAGTAAAATCGCGGAGCCAATGACAGGAGTGGTAGATCAGAACTTTCTTCTGTTGGGATAAGAAAAGAACATTCTTGCAGCAAAAAATCAGGAGTACTAAAAAGGCCACCATTTAGAGATGTTGGGAATTCATCACCATTATTGGTGAGGCAAAATAGTAAAGCAGTTTACCCTTTGCACAGCCCTTAAAGCTAAGTAAGCCAAATGTCTCTTTGTCTTGGAAGTTTTGTGATGTTATTTGTCTTCTTCAAGTGATTATTTGCTTAGTATTGATTGGTGCAAGCCTTTTGTAGAGCAAACAGTTTTGGTAGTAATAAGAGTATTTGCATTGTTAATTTTGCTACATTATTCGAAACTCGGTGAACGAGTGTGCCCTCTCTATCCTTCTCCAATTAAAGTTTAGGCTCTTGTTTGTAGTAGGATTTGACTTGTCATGTGTGTTTGGCACACACATCTCATATTGCGCTCTTATAATTGAACCAAACCCTTGAGGGCATCCTTCCTTCAAGATCTCTAATGCAAGCTTAGTACAGCGAAACCATAAGAAGCATTTTGGTTATATAACATAAAGTATTCATCTGCCTTGAGATAGTTGCATCATCTAAGGAAAAGCAAAAGAACATAAATAATTGTTCAGGTACAAAATTTGAGCTCTCTTTTGCAACAAAAGGTGTGAAAAAAATGTGAAATTTCATTCAATACAAGAAATCAGGAAGGAATGTGCATATTGTGTTTTTATAATTTTGGTTTTTGGAGTATCCAAAGAAAAAAATATATAGGTGAAAATGGAACTGATAATTGAAAAGATGGATGAAGTTGAGGAACAAAACTCTCTATGTATGTATATATAAAGCATAAAAAATGTGGCATTCAAAGGGTGTATTTGGTATGAAGAAAAATATTTTTTAATTTTTCATGCTTGTATGTCCAAACAACCGTTGACAACATCCTTATAATATTTCACCTGAGAAGGAAAATTCTTTAGGTATGTTTGGAAAGTCATCTCATTGGATTTAGTGTAATTACTAGGAAAGTGCCTTGTAATTATACAATATAAAAATCTATTTATTCGGCATAATATAATTATAAATATACTGTTTGATTGTGTAATTACAACTCAAAGACTACTGTAGAAATGTATGTTATCCTTGTTTACATGTTTTAAGCTGCATATGATTAATCTCTAATATTGTCAATATTTGTAACACTTCTTTTGCTTAATCACATCTAATTTAGAATCTTGTACTACTGGCATACTTCTAAATATTTGTAAATTTTGCAATAATGCAAACTCTTTCATCATAATTAATTCAAGAAAACAAAAAAGAAGACATACTATTAGAAGAAGAGATGCAGGAAGACGAGTTATGAGAATGATCAACTCAATAACACTTACATTTCACACAATATCCATCTTATTTTCAAAGAAGGAATTACTCAACTAAAAGGACATTAAATAAATAACATTTCTAGTGGAAATTTAAACAAATTGAGAGTAGAATTTATTAAGCCTTGGAATCCATGACCATAATGGTGCTAAGGTTCATTGGGTGCATGTAATCAGTTGTTCCAGTCAAGATTTGTTCAACAATGATTCTGTTAGCCTTCTCCGTGGGGTGAAATGGATCCCAAAATGCATATTCATCTCTGTTTGAGCACAAGTTGGATAAAGGTGTGCACAACCCCATCCCATTGTATGGTCCTTGTCCACAACATGCCACCTTTGATGTCACAAATCCTGTCCCATATTCCATTTACCTTCAAAGTTAGTAAACCAACTATATATATATAATGTAACCTATGTTGTTCGGACTATCCAAAAAGGATGCCATACCGTATCGGATCCTTCAAAAAGTACACTACTTTTGAAGGAATCGACACACACCCGTTGACATTTTCGAAGGGTCCAAAGCAACATAGTATGTAACTAATGCATGTGTATTAACATGTTGTACCAAATACTTGCCCTATTTTCTAGGTTACTATCCCTCTTATCATGGACAATTGTATTTATCTTTTAGGTAAAGCCTGATCATAGTGTAAAGCTTCTAATATATACTACTAGTGTATAAAAGTTACACCCTATAATTTTTCATATATATAATACAACAAGATTAAAGAGAGTTGGTCAGATGGTAAACATCCTTCACCTCCCACCCTAAGATCGTGTGTTTGAATTATCAAAGGAGCAAAAAAGGTGAAAACTCTGATTAGGAGGTGGTAAAAATAATATAGTAAGATTTTCCTCCGGACCCTACCCTATGCTCTCATTAATTAAAGTAGTAGATATTAGAAAGGACTAAAAATGTGAGATATCATTTAAAGCCTAGGGAGAAGCCAACTTATATTGCTACAACCTATTTACTCTCATCTAGTTTTTCTTTTTTATATATATGCTAAGAATGACAAAAGTAAGTAGGTAATTAATAATTATGAGGGTTAAATTATGTACCAAAAGCTTGAGGATCAGTAATGAAGTCCAAATGCATTTGGTTTGTATTTGCTGCAACAAAAACATGGTTGCCTATTTCACTATTGAGACCATTAAGCATCTCAACTAGTTGTGGATTGAACAGTACTGCTGCTTGCTGCAAATCATCCGCGCAGCTGCCATCGCGGCTTCTTTGGGCTAATTCCGCGGGCACACAACCTAATGGCCCTGTTCCCGTCACAATAACTCTACGAGCTCCTAAGCTATAGAGTTTCTGCGTCATAAAATTAACCTATCAGTATATATAATTTAAATTCATTGGTCAATTATTAGAGATTCATGTTGCTTTATGATAGATCTTCAAATTCAATAATGAAAAATGTTGTCTTTATGATGTGCTACACAAAATGACTTGAACTATAATGACATGTACAACTAAGAGTTGTACAATAATTAATCACATGCATGATTTATTTCCCCTCTAAAGTAGGTCTGCATTGGTTCAATATAGAACATACTTCATCGGTTTACTTTTACTTGTCCACTATTTAAAAAAAGTAGATTGTCATTTTTAACGTATTCATAGCATTAATTACTTATTTCCCAAATTACTTTCTAAGACCTAATTAATATCAAACATTAATTAATATGAGTAATGTGGTAAAATAGTCCTGTCGTTATTGTTTTCTTAATGGACATGTCAAGTCCAAATATGACAAGTAAAAGTGATCCGACACATGATAAAAAATGATATATATATGTATAATTGTTACCTGAAGAACATTTTTGTACTCAGAGATGACATAGGAGACATAATCTGGAAGCATATATTGACGAGATCTAACAGAAAAAGGGACTAAATAATAGTTGTTGACAAAATCATTGCCACCAAGTGTAATTAGAACAAGACCCTCTTTCACCAATTGCTTTGCCTTTTCACTTCCTATCAAAGCTCCCACTCTTTTTTGGTATTCTGCAAAGTACTCTAGTTGTTGTCCAATCCTTATAATATTTACCTGGAAAAAAAAACTCTTCATATCATAAATCTATCTAGTGCACAAGAAAATCGAGAGTCAAATTTCTTAATTTTGATTATAAATTTAAAGAGCGAAGTACTGAAAGTATTGAACTTGACACAAATTATTAGTTTCATCCCCTAATTATTGATAGCCTTAAAAACACCCCTCTATTTTACTAAATAAACTTAGATACACACCTCCGATCTGCAACATGACATAAAAAGTGGTTTCAAACTCTCGTAGGAGCATGAGGCTCTTAATAAAAAGCCGAGAAAAGTTTGAAAACACCCCTAAACTTAATGAGAAATTAGGGGTGTATTTCACTCATGTTACAAGATTGGGGGTGTATTTAAGTTCAATTAGTCAAGTAAATGAGTGTTTTTAAGACTGTCAATAGTTTGGAGATGAAACTAATAATTCACGCCGAGTTTAAGTGTATTTTTAATATTTCTCTTAATCTTAATTTTAAATTTCTTCGGATAAAATTTATGTATTTAAAAGCTGAGTAATATTTATGTGATATTATACTTAGTACTTATTTAAGTCTCAAAATTTGAATGATGCCACAAAATCAATTACTATTGCAAATTGAATAATGGAAATTGAAAATAGAAATAAAGCTTACAAATTGAATTCCAGTGTCATTAAGTACACCAACCCCAGCAGAAGCAAAGTTGGCACCAACAAGAAGCTTTTCCCCTTGAAGTTCAGGACTCAAGTATGGCAATGTAGGCTCTATTCCAAGTTTTTCACCTAATAATTACGTTAACAAGGACAAAACAAATTTTAATAAATAATTATATATAACAAGGTATAAAACAAAAAGACAAAATGGATAATCATAGCAATATTGCACCGAGTAAAGCTTTTGCAAGTGAGAGTGAAATTTCTCCCAAAAATAAGTCTGGAATATCAATTTTTGAAACTTGAATTTTTTTTAAAGACAATTTTAAAATATGATAGATTTAAAAAATCTCTGTTCAAACGCTAGCTAATTCCACCTCTCCACTCCCCCTTTTCTTTTTGCAATTAGTATAAAAATTAGTCATGACTATTGAAATTTGAAGTTTCGATCCCACAATGGAATTATTGTTTCTAGATCCCAAAATTGTCCCATGAAGGACCACGTGTGCCTGATACAGAATAATGCTGCATGCATGCACACAGCAGCACCAAATGTGAAAATAATGAGGAAGGAAGAAAATATTTTGAAGGTTGAAACTAAAACAACATGTAATAGGAAAAGGGATCGACTTTACTACCATATAAAATAATAGATCTTGGACCTAACTCACTCTCCAAATAAGGTAAAAATTGTCGGAGTCCATATGAACAAACCAATTATATCCATCCCTTTTTCCAACGTGGAACTTGTTTTGTTAACTTAATGATGTATATTTTGGAATGGAATGCAAACCACAAATTAAAGTAGAGAGAGGGTCATATATATAATAAGTCTTTGTGCGTCCATATATGCCATCAAACTTATAATAATATCACTACTAAAAAAACCGGATTTAATAATAGACGTAGCTAAACCAACAAATTAGCGACATGTTCAGCAAAATAGTGACGAAAATGTGTATGAAAATAAAGAAGAGAGAAATAATATAATTAACTGATAATGTCAGGAATGTTAAGGCCATTAGAGAATCGTCCAGTAGGACGATGAGTTGGATAATCAATGCCATAAGGTGGTGAATCTGCACGAGCACTTGTAGCCAAATAGTTGTTATTTCCAGTATCAACTAATGAATCTCCAAACACAAAAAATGCTCTTTCAGCTGCACCCTCTACTACTCTTAATACCATAATCATCATCAAAATAATAATATTGGAAGCCATTGAACTAATTATGTGAAAGAATGAACTAGGTGGTGTTTGCTTTCCTTT